TTTTTTTTTTTTTAATAAGTATCGATTTGGCACCGGTATCGAAAAAACTCAAACGATACCCAACCCTACTTGAGACTAATTTTTGTTCTTGATAGGGAACATGAGCCTAATTATTATTATTATTATTTTAATTTTAATTTCTCATCTATTTGCATTTAAATTTACATTTGTTTATCAGACATTTTTACCCCAAAGCCCCAGATGTCAAAAATCACAAGCAGTTTATCATAAAGGTGCCAAAAATATTAGCTCTATTACAGTACAGAGCATAGAAGCTAGTTTTTAAAAATAAATAAGAAGGGCTAAAGAAGCTACATTTGTAATATTACTGTTGTCAAATTTTATTGGCGATTTGAGATATGTTACTGAAACGTTATCCAGACAAACGGTTACTGTAAACAGCAGACTACACCTTAAAAATACAGGTTCTTTAATGCTATTGTCGGTTCCATGAAGAACCTTTAACACCCATGGAACGTTCCATTGCACAAAAGGTTCTTTATAGTGGAAAAATATTAGAAAATATTCTTCACACTAAGAAAAAATGTTTATTTCAAAAAATTTTCACAGAAAGGTTCTTTGGGAATCCCAAAATAATTATTCTAAGGCATCGCTGCAAGAATCCCCTTTTGTATCTTGTCTTAAAGCGACTTTGGCAGTACTTGGTTCAAAACATTTGAAAACTACTGTTCTACCTCATATTTACTTCTTATCTACTTCTACTATAAATGTGATTATCTAAATAAGCTATATAGACCAAGAGTAAAATAAAAAAATAAATAGATAAATAAATAAATAAAAACATAACAATGGTTTCTTGTAATATCACACAAATGAATGAAGCCCAACAGAGAAACCAGCTCTCATGCCAACATAATAAACAATTTGCTTTGCTCAGTGTTCACGGGAAGTCCCTCTATTACCTGGTTACCTGGAACCCCTGTGTTCCGGCCCATATGGAGCCCTTCAAACATGCAGCCACAACAGACTTCAAGGAAAAGATCCGCAACCACTCAAAAACCCAGCCATCTCCTGTCATCTACCAAAACCATTCCACTTCATTTTTCATGTGAATATTATTATTTTTTGCCTATGATATCTGAAGATCTGTACGTTATGAGCGGCTGGACTTTTTCCAAGGTATGACATCATCAGGGGTTTGACTCGGACGCAACACTCCCCAAACCCCGGAGAACATCAGCTTCCATACAGCAACATGCTGAGATATTAATGAGCTTATAGTTTAACTGATTATCTGAGAGCTAATCCGCTGTTTACAAACAGCAGCAGATGGGATTTTACAGGTGAGAAGCTAAACAAACTGGCGTGACGGTTATTGTAAACGGTCCATTTTTTTATTCAAATGTTGCAATTGAAATTAAACCTGCCTCTCGGGTTTATTCTAAAACAAAGCAAAAAAATTCTTCTAGGAAGCCAGGGCTTTTAGGATTTTATGAACTAATAAAGGAAAGGTAAAGGTAAAGGCAGCTAACTCACCCCTCTCACACGTGCGAGACCAGTAACCAGTGCCTGTGCAGTCGCAGATAAAGCGATTCCATCCTTCTTTGCACACACCTTTGTTCTTGCACGGATAGCTGTCGCACTGTTTGCCTGGCATCTTGTTGCAGGAAGGTTTGATACCTGCACCGTTCTGGGCCTCAGCGATTTGCCTGATGTCCTTACTGCGACCGTCAATGAACAGGTCCCGAATGCATCCCACATAGCCGTAGTATAGCATGGCAGTCCATAATTCAGTGGGAAGGATAAGGCCGGCCCGGCTATCGGGGAGGCCGCCCAGGTACATGTCCCCCTCCAGGTCCAGGATCTCATTTTCGCCACTGGCGGTGAACGGAGTGCGACGGCTGTTAACAGATATGGTGCCTGGAAAAAAAATAAAGAGAGACAGAGATTATATGAGCCATAAAATACATAAAACACATTCACACAGTTATTGTTAGTGGTCCAGTAATGTTACAATTACTTTTTTAGCAGTTTAGGTTTGTGCATTTAACCCCTAAAATGTCCCCAAAAGTTATTTTATTTTATTGACAAAACTCAAAAATCATATTTGTTAATTGAAATACAGCTGCACGAAAATAAGTAAAATATAAGATAAAAAAAAAAAAAAAATGAAAATGAGTTAGAAATGTTGCCTTGGCAACTTTTATTTTCTTAACTAGCTTCTGCGCTATTCTGTATTGCAGTAATGCTAATATTGTTGCCAACTGTATGATAGATTGCTTGTGATTTTTCTCATCTATTTTGGGCTAAAAATGTCTGATAAAAAAGGTAAAGTAAGTAAAATGTAAATAGATCAGAATTTAAAACTAACATTAAAAACTGGAAGTGTAATAATAAAAGCTAGTTCAAATTATACTATATAATACTATAATAGTATATACATAATGCTAAAACTGGTTAAAAAAATGTAAAAAATAATAAAATATATATATACAATTTTAGTGAAGGTGCGAAAAAATAAATAAAAAATAAAATAAATGCATTTTTAATGTGAAGAGACTATAAACTGTAAACTAAAGTACTGTAAATTACTGCACTGCGTAATCCAGCAGGGTTCAGACTAAGACAATCTGTTGTGTGTCTATCCTGTCCACAAGAGACAAAGATAGGGATAGAAAGACTATCCACAGAGTATGTGATTGAGGGAGAGGGGGGCTACAAGAAAATTATTTTCTATTTATGACCTCATGGGGAGTGTGTGAATCTTGTAAAGCGGCGTCCCTCATACAGACACACTGATGTAAACAATGCATCCCATGTGGGGAACCAGGGATCAATGGGAATAATCTCTTCAGAACAGACACTGGTCCAGTCACCCACATGGCTCTGTCTAAAACCTCGCATTACTGATATCCTACAAGACCTCCCAAGGGCCCTGTGCTATGAAGTGATATGGAGTAGTCATCCATCGATTCAGAAACAGAGTGCCAGCGATTCAAGGGCCAAGAAAGAAAGAAAGAGGTGAAGGAGGATACAGAGAACGATAGAGGGGATAAAACCTAATAGAAAGTTATGTCAAAGTAGATGTGAAATGAAATGAAAATGTCAGCCTGCTTTGGACTAAATCTGTCCATTATTGGTGACTAAGCACTGTGCTTTTTGTTTAAAGCTGTTATCATTTGGCTGCAGAACTTAACGCCTATGGAAAACACACAAGCAATTACAGTATCCGACCGATTTAGTAATGAAACAAAGTGGGAGTTCTTCATGTGCTCAGTTAAAAATTGTTTTTAAAATGAGATACAATTTATGGGTTATGTCTTTAATTCTAAGAGCATATTTCCCACATGGAAATCCATTTTAAATATATTTTTTCTTGAATTTCATTTATAATTTTAGTAATTTCTTTCGCAAATTAGATTTACAAGGTCATTTTAGATATACAAGGCCAGACCTAAATGTCTCCTACCTTTAGGTCTATTTCATAAGGCAAATGAAACAACAGCACAACCACAATAGTGGGTTTGCTTTGTGTTCCTAACAAATTGTTTTTCTACCATAAATACTATGGAGTGATTTTGGGTTACTATATTGAATATTTCCTTTATTAACAGCCATATAATATTCAGCAATGTACACAGAGCAAAAAATAGGCTCTGCATTAAAACACTCATTGTACCTATATTTCTCCTACACTATACTTTAATACTGTAACATGTTAACATAAGCAACAAACAAGCTAAATAAACAATGAATTACCATTAAAAATAAATGAATAAATAAAAATAATAAATCAAATCGATTAATCACATCGAAAATACAAGTTTGTGTTTACATAATATATGTGTGTGTACTGTTTATTTAATAAATAAATATTATAAATATTAATATAAATAAATACACACATACATGTATGTATTTAAGAAATATTTGTAATATATATTTATATGTATAATATAAATCATATATAAATATGAATATATATTAACATTTTGCAGATATTGTTTATGATCAAACAGCAACATTACACACTAACTAACATTAAAAAAGTGAAATCGCAATCAACCACCCCTTTAAATGTGTTCAGCATTAATAGTAATAGGAATAAAGAAGTGAGTGTATTTGTCTGAGAATCCACACACTGACCTGATCTCCCGTCTCGTTGGATGTCCACATGATACCAGGCCCCGTCGTTCACCTTGTTCTGTGTGGCTTTCACTTTGATAGTCCCAGAGCCCATGTCCAGCAGCAGGTACATGCTTCCATCCAGAAGCTCAACTGCAAAAAAGTCCACTTTTGTGTTCTTCTGGCTACGGGCATCCTTTCTTTCCTGCGGCTTCCCGTGGGTGAAGAGAATAAGGCCGTTTGGTTCGGTGGTACGGAAGTCGAAGGATATGGAGCCCATGCGTTTGGTGTTCCACTTGGGTAGGCTGATGTAGGACTCGGGCGTCTCGAATGAGATGGGGTCCAGAGTGGCCACATTCTCGCACTTGAACACCACATCTCCCTGAATCTTCATTTTGGGATCCACAATGCGGGCGAGCCGGGAGAGTTCCAGCCGGATGTCATTGTTTTTGTAAACAACCTGTGTGGATGTACGCAAAGAATCACTGAATGATGATGATATATGGGATATCTTTATCTGGCTTTCAAAAATTATAAATATGAATATGCAAATTATTTTTTTTTATGCTGGATGCTAAATAGAGAGTCCAGGAAAGGTGACTTTATTCAAATATGACCTGTGATAATACCAATAGGCCAGGCCACTGCCTGCAAATGACTGTCTCTCAATGGTAATTGACTCGGGCTTTGCTGGCACAAGCATGTGGGTCTGGTTTTCTTGATAACTATGGTAATAGGTTTATAAAGCTGCAATGGCACTTTCTACCACAAAAGCTCTTAGGAAGCAAGTCCTGCCCCCTGCCTGCTTCCCAAATCTGACATTGTGCTTTGGGTCCTAGTGCCTGTCAGTTGAAACTAAGGCTATGTTCACACTGCGAGCCTTAGTGCTCAATTCCGATTTTTTTCTCAGATCCGATTTTTTTGTATAGCTGTTCACATTGTTGTTTTAAATGTGGCCAATATCAGATTTCCAGTGTGAACAGATCATGGTTCTGAACTGACCCGCATGCGCAAAAGAACGATACAAACAGGGTTTCCAGATTTTCACAACAAAATCCACCCAATTCTTTCTCAAAACTAGTCCAAAACTAGCCCAATCATGTTCAGGGAGGTAAACATTGCGTTAGTGGGGTCGCGTCAACCCACGAAGTTGAAAAACAACCCGCGGCAACAGAGGAAACAGTAGCCCAATTCCGCGGGGAAAATGTGGATTTGGCAACACTTGCCCAGCGTGCCGTCATACGGAAGTAAACACGAAGGATATAAAGTAAGCAATTATGCGTTTATTTATAGTGTGATCTGCTGCAGAAGCCAGCGAAATTATGTGCAGGCGATATGAAAAAATAAAGACAAGGATGTGACAAAAGAAAGCAGAGTTTTGAAACTTTTATGATATGAGCACCTCATGTTTTGCTTGTAGAGTTGTCACTGTAATACACATGAATTCTGTTCTGACACATAACACTTCCACTTATTACCTTTCACTACTGTCTTGATAACTTTGGGTATGTAAAATAGTGTCTCCCGTCAGCGCGGAATTATGATGAATGTCGATCTAGAGTGACGTAAAAGCCGCATGAAAGCCGACATGACCGTTCACACTGCGGTCGCATTGCAAAACATCTGACATAGATCGGATGTAGTACCACATATAGAAGTGGCACAAATCAGAATTCAAAGATCAGATTCCATGCGGTTTGTGCTGTTCTGTCACTGTCATAACAAAAACAGATCTGAGTCACATGTGAGCAAAAAAATCTGATTTGGGCCACATTTGCCTGCAGTGTGAACGTAGACACCCGGCCATGTGCTCTGAGCAAGTGCTTAGTTTTATCAGAGCTTGAGGCTTACTTTTTTCCCCAAGGCACACATGCTCTTAAATTGAATTATTTAGAAGCACATTAAAAAACATTATGGGCGCAACGAAAATGTATTCAAATAATGTTGTTGGTTTTTTTGTAATCAAGTAATACAAAGAGATATTTAAAAGCAAAATGATTTAACATTTTAGAATTAGTTTTTAAATATTTCTGAATCAAACTATATTTAACAATTATGCGATTACATAACATTTATGCATAATGTGGGACTTTTAATTATAAACAAGCCTGAAATACAGCGGACTTTTGTTTTGAAATGCCTATACTATTGACAGCTTTTCAAAAAGATGAGGGAGATAAAATGAATGATGATTCTGGGACTCTTACAACCATCGAAAACATACTGCAACATGCAAACAAAATAAAGTAAATACTGTCATAATTAATTAACAGTAGATCATAAGCAATTTATTGGCATAAATGTGCAGTATTGTGAAATCGTGAACATGTACCAGCACCACAATTTTAATTTGAAATGTGCAGGGCTTATTTATTAAATTAAATTATAGCCTTTTGAAGTTAAATAATTACATTAGGCTGTTTTGCGATTCCTTTTTTTCCATCCTCAAATTTAAGACCTCTTAAAATGATAAGTTTTAAAGGATAAGCCTTTTTACGACCTTACATTTAATAAAACTCCACTGGGACTTTTTTTTTTTAATTTACACACGTGCTCCTTAATACATTTTACAGTTGCATTAAAATATTTAAGACTTTTTTTATTTAAGACCCTACATTTCATAAAACTCTGCGGAGACTTTTTTTTTTCTTTTATTCACACACACAGGGCCGTACCTAGGCATAGGCGAGCTAGGCGGTCGCCTAGGGCGCCACCAGCTGAAGGGGTGTTCCCAAATACATTTTACAGTTTGCACGTGAGTGAGTGAAGCGCTGACAATGTTGAGCCCTGTTTGCATGTGGTAAAAGGCTATCTGGGCTATTTTTTGCAAATTAATACGGTCACCTTACTAATTTTGCATGGTCTGACCATACATTATATTTAATACAGATTAAACCGGTATAGAGCGTACTGTACCTGCAAACTCCGCAGAAATTCGCTGAGTGTGAAATTGCCCGCTTTAGCTAATTTCTCCTGAAGAAAGAGATCTTTTTTTTTTTTGGGGTGTACATTTTTAGAACATCACGCTGTTTGTGAGTGCATTGACACTAGATCAGAGTGCTGTCAATTGCTGCCTGATTGGTGCATGCAAAGTTTGCATTTGGAGCGCTCAACAACGCCATTAGATCAGTGGGCTCTGTCAGTGATTTGGCAAGGTAACACTTTTTTTTGCCATGCAATAAAGCTAAGTTCAAAGGCCAATTTAAAATATTGGTACAGTAAATAAAGTGCACAAAATCAGTATTTTTTTTTTGGGGTGTACATTTTTAGAACATCACGCTGTTTGTGAGTGCAAGCAATCGACACAAACGCTCCAGCCCTGATTTTACAGTTAATCCTGGACATTGCGGGGTGTAAATCAAACATCCTCTCAGGTGCAGGAAGGGCAAAGAGGAATGGAAGGATTGTGTTCTGTTTCTGCAAAAAAGCCACAGAGATATCCAGGCTTTTCTCCTCTGTTGTGTTTCTTATCTGATAGATCATAAATATCATTCTCCCTGAGGGGGATCCATTTCTCAGACAAAGCCATACGTTGGTTCCTCAGATTGGGAGCAGCGTCATAGAGGGCAGAGCCTCACGTTATTTAAAGGGGACGTTAACACGTTAACGAGTATTAAATGATTAAGTAGCTGCATTGGTTACTTTTATGCATCTCATACAAACATAGTAATTTTTCTCCACAAGACTAAAACTGCTAGCTTCAGTCTCTTATTGTTCTTTCAAAAACAGTATTTCTTCTCTGTAAACCATCATGGTGCTGTCAGATAGATTGACGTACACTGGCTCTGTTAAAACTCTAACATCATGAAGAAAAGATTACTTCAGCTGCAGAATCAGAGAAATTTAAAGCACTTATTGCAGCTGTTGTCTAGTAACTGTAGACTATATTATTGAATTCCATGTCTGAAATACCAGCATGATGGTAGAGCATGTATAGACTGTTTTCTTAAAATAAACTATATTATATCAACTGGAAATTTTGAGATTTACCCACACAAACAATATATAGAAATCAAATATATTTTTTTAAATAAATACACTACCATTCAAAAGTCTGGGGTCAGTACGATTTAGGGCTGCACGATTATGACAAAAATCATAATTGTCGATTATTCCGTTGAAATTGTAATTGCGATTATTAATTACGATTATCACAATTTACACTGAATGATGTTTATACCATTGTTTGAAGCAACTATCAATTACTATTACAAACAATTGTTTGAAATATCCACACCCTACCCCGAGTCTTGATTCTGAGCTTGCAAATCATATTTCAGTTGTCCAAACTGTTAAATCTTTTTGCTGAAATATTCTTTAATTGCATTAATTTAATTTTGGACCGCGGTGCAAGCCATAGCGGAAAAGCAGCATATGTCATTTAAACAAAAGCATTTCAGGGGAGAACAAATATTTGTTCCCCTGGGTGAAAAGAAGGGTTACTTCTACGCCCCTAGAAATCTGACATTTCAATATAATGCCAAGGCTTTATCTAACAACACCTGGTATGTAGTTTGCAGGAAAGACAAGCAAGAGTAACTGAGACATAATCTATAGATAGACATGAGAAGACTCCAAGGATCTGTCTGTGTGGATCTCAGCATTATGGATTCGGCTGTGAGGGAACGTAAGGATTGACTGGTTCTTACGTAAGTCTTTGTTGTACAGCTAAGCTATTTACAACCAGAGAGGCCATATGTTCTTCCCAAAGCTTTTGAGAAAATTTAAAAAAAGAAAAAGTTTGATAAAACCCTACGGCATAATAAACCTTATAATTATAAGGCAGCATTGTACGCTTCATGTCTAAGCCAATCCCAGAATGCACTGCACATAAAATACACACAAACTGATTAAAAAAAAAACAACAACTAGAGGTCGACTGATGTATCATTTTGCTGATTAATCGGCACCTATAGTTGATTGCTGCCGATAGTTTTTCCAGGTTGCGTCTGTTGCAGTCATTATACAGTACGAGAGCGGCCCTCTAGAGGCGGAATCACTGACGCCACGTGCTGTTTGTTTTGACTCGTGACACTGCACGCTGCACAGAGCGGGACACTTCAGACGCTCGGATTAAAAACATCGCCAACTAAATGGTGTGTACACATCATTCCGTAGTGCATGTTTTCATATCATTACTAAGTAATTAATTTGCTGACTAGATGCTGCATTAATAGAGAAAGAACAGCAGAATGTTTGCTATCAAGGCTGAGAGGACGCGAACATTAGCAGCACCTCAAATTATTAAAACATTGTGATCAAAACACGCAAGTCTGATCCAAATCCTTAATGTCACGACTGTTACCATCTATTTGCATTAGTTTATATCCAGCTGGCCACATTAATGCATTTGTTAGCCAGCGAAGTTGCAGATTTAAAGCTGTGACGTGAGAAAGCACATAGATATGTTCATACGTATCCTGACGGGAACTCGAAAGCGTGAGCATATTACCCCTGTCC